GAACAATCACATTCATTCTTTCCTCTGGGATCCCCGCTCAATGTGGGGCAGAGGAATATTTCGAGTGGCAGTCTACGATTCAAAGTTTCCCGGCGACGCCAATTCCATAACCCCACTGGAGAGCGCCCAACCAGTGCGTCGTTTTCCCATCCTAGCCCAAGCTCAGAAATGGCTCTCCGGACCCTGTATTCCAAATATCCCTATGTTTTCCTACCCTAGCGGGTCTTGTCCCTTGGTCTTCTGGCATGCTCCGACTGACCCTCGTAGCACCGCAAGGGCTGCCATCTCCTGTGGATGCTATGGCTCAAACCCTACATCCCTATCACTCTACCAGTGGCCAAGACTCGTAACCGGTGTACCTGGGTGTCGGATAGGTTAATCCCCACAAATATCTCTAAGTGATGATACCCATTTCAGTTTCACTTCACTGTGGGAGCCTTTGTCTTCCCCACTCGAGATGTAGGGGACAATGGTGGATTAGCATTTGGATACGTTATCGGGACTACAACGAAGAGTAATAATCAAGACCGTTTGTTCGGGCTTGAGATAAATCCTAGTAAGGTAATGAAACTAGATCCAGCGATTTCTCCCTAGCCAAACCTAGCCAAAATTTGGTACCGGGCAAGGTATCGGACCCACTGCCAGCAGAAAAGTATCCAGGATAAAGCGTTAATCAAGCCGCTATTATCAGAAGGGTGCTATATCCAATCATACAGTCCGTTACAGCCGGGATAACTAAATATATTCATGATTATGCAATGTTGTGTCAGTGGCGAGTGATTGCACATGATTGCTTCCTCCCTAATAATCCAGAGGGGGGGGGGGCGTTTTCAGTAGTTCGGGTACGAATGGTATATATATGTATATGTAAAATATCCAACCTCTCTGACGCCGTGGGACTACTCGGCTAGGAGTCTCGCCAACCCCCAATACCCATCGAGCGAATACTGTACCAGATGGAACCAGGGAGTACTGTTTCAACAGGCTACCGGTAGATGATTTATTTTATCATACTTGCACAGTCATTAAGCTATTTTCTCTATCTCGGTGCATTTTATTAAGAGAGCCGAGCTTGGCTGTCAACCACTGCTGGCCACTCACGACCCCCCCCCCCCCTCCACCTCCAATTCCGGATTCATAGGTTTGCTTAGATACCCCGACCCGCCCCCGAAGAACATAATCCGGCCAACTAAACCGATGCCCGGGCCCTACCGCAGAACACAAGACCCGCCGTGAACATTAGGAGGGGTTGGATAAATGGCATGTGGGGAGGATTGGTGTTCCCCGGAGCGAATGGTAGAAGGGGTTTCAGGCCTAAAAGCGTAGCTAGAAAGGACTCAGAGTGGGCCGTGGAATGAACTAAGAAGCGCAATCTTTGCCCATCTCTTTCCCCCTGTACAGTTCTTTCACATGCATGCCTCAATCTTGCCCCTCTCTTGATAGCGGGTCCAAGCCCTCTTTGCCATGCCATCACCGGCATTCTCCATAATCCCTATAATACGCTTGATGAAATTCTTGGAAGACCGCAAGAATCCTACAAGACATTGCTCGAGGATGCTGACCTAACAGGGAAGCGCACAGAAGCCGGGCGATTGAGGGCGGGAAATGGCCAGGAGGGGATTTCTCACGAACCCGAGAGGGTAGGAAAAGCTGGGGGGCACCGCCGATCCGTGGCGAAGAGGCGCTTTAGCACCCACTTTGCACGGTTCAAAACAAAAAGGAAGGGCGTAACTCCAATTGTGAGTATGAATACCTGCTCTTCGGCTGAATAGCATTGGAAGAAAAAGAAAAGCAACACCTCTATAACGGCTGTGATTCACATGGGCTCACTCGGGACCACCTTGACCAAATGACCCAGATAGTCGCCCCAAGTTTGAATTGCCCACTTCCTAAAACATTGGGAGGAAGTGGTGGTGCTGGTGAGAACAAGATGCGAGTCGGGGAAGTTAGTCAAAAGGATGGAAGATGGGAAAAGAGGGTGAAATTGTATCGAAACCATGAGCGGTCTATCTAGGGGAGTGATATGGTGAAAGTAAGAATTGTGAACTCATCACTAACTTCACGTAGCGAATTAGGAAGGGAGACTAAGCCGGGTGTAGAAATGCAGTGAATTGATGTGCAGAAGACGGGGACGACTGAGGGAAGGGTGTTCGAATCATAAAATAGCGATTTAACCCCTAGAATCTAGATCAAGTTGCCAAATCCAAGAACTTTCACACCTATAGATATTATACATTGAGTTCCAAGTTTATAATTGCCAAATCCACTCTTTGCCCTGATCATAATCTTATTCTCCGCGCACCCACACAACAAGCCAAGGAAACCGCTCCGCTTATAGACACAACTTCCCTTTAATGAGTGATAAAATCCCAAACGGTTACCAAACTTTCCCAGAGGGTTTCAAACTATGTTAAACATTCTACCCGTTACGGAGTCCCCCAGAAGCCCTACTCCACCCCGCCCCTACGAAGGCATGCCTAACCACTATCACCAATACCTGAATCCCTATCGCGAATGCAGCTGATTCCACTATTCTCTAGGATACCGCCAAAGTCTCCACAGCCACGAGAGCGCGCGGTCACCAGGTAATCGCAGGTGAGCTCCGGCACTAGCACCCCGCTCGGCTTTCACCGGACCGGTCCTCGAGGAAAGGTATCGCTGCTCTCGCAATAACTTCAACCTCCTGGCACATTCCAAGGTAGTTAGGTGCTCTTCACCGAGGGCAATAGAGAATCCTTTGTAGGCTCGATCGTAAGCCTCTCCAGCTTGAGAATAGCGTTCCTGTTTTTCATATAGGCAAGCCAAACGTACGAGGGGTTTACAGACATTTGGGTGCTCCGGACTGAGTGTGCTTTCTCGAGTTGCCAGGGCACATTGGAGCAGTCTTTCGGCCTCGGCATACTTTCCCTGAGATTCAAGTGCTAAGGTTAGGTTGTCAATAGTCGACAGTCCACTAGTGTGGTCTGTGCCCAAAACTTTCTCTCTGGCTTCTAGGAGACGGCGGAACAGTATCTCCGATTCGATGAACTTTCTCTGCTTTAGAAACAGCATAGACAGGTTGTTGGCAGCTGCCAAAGTATTAGGGTGGTCTGATCCAAAACATTTCTCCCACTCCTCAAATGCGCGGCGATTCATCACCTCCGATTCTTCGTACCTCCCTTGCTCCCGTAGCACCAGAGCCAGGTTATTGACAGTCGTCAAAGTAGTAGGGTGGTCCGGTCCTAAACATTTCTCGCGGCCCTCCAATGCGCGGCGATTCACCACCTCCGATTCTTCGTACCTCCCTTGATCCCGTAGCACTAGAGCCAGGTTATTGACAGCCGTTAAACTATTAGGATGGTCCGATCCAAAACATTTCTCGTACCCCTCTAATGCGCGGCGATTCACCACCTCCGATTCTTCGTACCTCCCTTGCTCCCGCAGCACTAGAGCCAGGTTATTGACAGCCATCAAAGTATTAGGGTGGACCGATCCAAAACATTTCTCGTACCCAGATAATGGAGGTGTTTTGTCATATAGATCCAATAAATCAGGATTGACTTCCTTGCGTTGCACAAGTGACTTCGGTGGGGGGCCGTGCCTTCCCGTGGCAGCAAATGATGGAGGTGTTTGGCCATATAGATCCAATGAATCTGGATTGACTTCCTTGCGTTCCAGAAGTAACTTCACTATAGAGCCATGTCCTCCCTCGACAGCAATTGATAGGGGTGTTCGGCCATCTGCATCCCGTGAATCGGCATTGGCTTCCCCGCGCGCGAGAAGCAGCTCTACTGCACCTTCATTCCCGGACCCCGCCGCAAACGATAGGGGTTTCCGGCCTTTGGCATCAACCGTGTTGGGATTCACGTCCGGTTGTTGTAAAAGTCATCTTACTATCCCCTGGTGTCCTCTCTCAGCCGCCCACAAGAGGGGTGCCCGGCCAGATTCAGTGTCAGCCTGGTTGGGATTGACTCCCTCTGGTTGCAAAAGTATCTTTAGTACCCCGTCATGCCCATTCGAAGCCGCCCACGAGAGTGGCGTTCGGCCATAAAAGGTATCTGGCTGGTTGGGATTGACTCCCTCTCATTGTAAAAGGATCTCCACTACCCTCTCATGCCCGTTCCCGGCCGCCCAGATGAGAGCGGTGACACCTGTGACATCAGTTGCATTAACATCCCACTCCTTTATCTCTAATACGGAAGTCATTATGTCCGCAATCCCTAGAAATGCTGCTCCGTGTAGTCCGGTAAATCCCACAGGTCCTCCCGCCCCGTGGAAATATGGGGAATAGCTTCTATCTTGATTAGTGCGTAAAAGCAATAGCTGAGCAGATATATGCCCATCAAATCTATCAAGAAGTCTTAGTGCTAGTTCCTTCACATTTCTTGTCATTCCCTTTCTTGTGTGAATCCCCCAGAAACAAGAAGCATACTCTAGAAGGGGTGTTGTTGAAGGGGCCGAGTAGAGGGTTGGCGGAAGATTGCGGACACTTCCGAAATTGAGGTATGTCAAGCAAACCGCTGCGATTGCTGAGTGGGGACTATGGAATAATGTAGGATAGCTTATGAGGTGCTCCCGAAGGGTAAAGTGCACAAGTTGGACAGTGGGTGAAGGTGCCTCGACTGTGACTAAACCCAGCGAAGACGCTATAAGGGTCCGTAACGCAGGAACATTTTCTGCAACTTGATCTTCCTATCCCGGCTCCACTCCCAATGCGTGACGGAGCTCCTCGGCCAGTAATGGCCGTTCCGAGTATAACACCCACATTAGAACCATCATTCCGAGTAAGCTTTTTTCCCTCCTTGTGGGCCTGCACTCGAGCAAGAGTTGCAGTGTAGGCACTGTTCAAATGTGTACGGTACGGCACTATCTTAATAACTTTGTACGAAATATGACATGGTAGAGAGAGTATACCATGGGCATGTTAAGTGAGGAGGAGTTTGGTATGAAGGTAGATTGGTAGTAGTTCTTGTCCTTGATTCTTTTAAGTGAGATGGGTGGTGACCCCTATTTATACAGGTGTGCATCCTTCTCGTAATTAAGAGAAAATATAAGGGAAAACAAAGTATTGACGTGTTTGACTGTAATATAAGTAGGAAAAACATAAGTGTGAACATGTTTGACCCTGAAGAACTGCCAAAAAAATCCCATAAAACATGCGTAAATCTAAGATGGTGTGAACAGATAAGTGAAATATAATTAACCTGAACACCAGATAAGAAAAGCACACCATAATCCCCTAATCGTATCATGAAATATCAAATGAAATATACATAATACATACTCCTGCTGTAGTAATGTCTGTGTATAGAAATAATACTAAGTAGAGGAATATACGATATTATCAAGGAGAATATACATATGAAACGAATTAGGAAATTCAACAGGCACCACTCAGTCCATTGCCCTTTGCCATTTCTTCCAGCTTCCTCCTTCTCTGGTGAATTGTCACCCGTCCTAGAATGGTGTCCGTGCATATAGAGACAAGCAGGAATCTGCACACAGCCGCTTGTAAGCATACATTATTCATAGGGGAGAAATGATAAACTGCTACTACGCACATATCAGATATCTGCTCTGAGATAGTTCTAATAATATCCGCCAGCAAGTTCTCGTTCATCGCCTCTGGCTCCGCATCCCTAGCCAACCTCATCTCTACGTAACTCGTGATATCGTCCGTGTTTGGCCGAATAGGCAAAAGAATCGCCCTGGAAAAATATCTTTGGATATCCTCTTTGACATGGGGCCTCCCGGTGAAGAATATTCTTGTCCTTGGGCACCCCAGAGCAATATCTCTTAGGCACTCTAGAAGCTGTGGAAGATGCTTCGGCAAGCATTCATCTAGTGCATCGAGGCAGACGGAAACTTGCGGTACGGAAGAAATCGCGATCTTCAACATCCGTATTAGATTATGGAGTTGCGGCCCGCTGGTACCAAACTTCGTTTTTGCTTCATGAAATGCATCGTGCACATAATTCGGAATGCCAACTCTCCCCACTAGCTGCTTCAGAATAGCCCCTATCATATTGGCAATAGTCTGTTCTTGTTGTGAAAGGTAGTCGCAGTACAAGCCTACAACTATGATATCTCGTTGCTCGCACAGCCGGTCGATAACAAGGGAGCTAGTATTTCTCGCCGTCAGTCGTACCCGTCTCTTTTAGAGAATCCGGATACTTACCTCAGATAGGTTTTTCCCACTCCGGGATTCCCGCTGCAAAACAGGACAGCCTCATCTGCTTCACCCTCACTACTTCTCCACTTCCGAAACTCGCTTGTCTCCAGGAGCCACTCCCCAACACCCTCGAATCGATCAGTGCGTACATCCTGATGTCTTCTGTTTGGCTCTAGTGGGGAGAGCCAGCGCATAATCTGCGCATCCTCGTTGGACATGCAAATGGTGGAATTTGATGTTGTGTTGCTGGAGTTGGCATTGCCGTCACCGATGCTGGTGGCTTGAATCTGTCTGGTCTGGGCCATGATATCCTGCCCAAAATGTACCTCGAATGTAGAAATGGTATAGCAGTCTAAAGGGGTATCGCAGGAGTTTATGAGATTTCAGTGCGCAGATTCACAACGATTTGGGACTTCGGGGTGGGGGGAGAAAGAGGGGAAAGAGGGGAGATCTAACTTGTGCGGCAGTGGATACCCGATCACTTGGATCGGGAGCCTGACTAATATGAGACATACCTCCTAACAGCACTGTTGAGTGACTGTAGGAGCGAATTGTGTCCGGCATCACACCGATTTTCCCCTCTCAGTTGGCGCCGGAGGGCTTAGTAGGGGATGGTCGATATTTGTTAGCGTACAGTAGGCTGTATAAAATGCCATTGCATTGCATCGCGAAAAGCTGGCGCTATGTATTTCCTCCCCTCCTGATGGTCTTAGAGGTTACTGTTGCTGCCTGTGTTCTCATCTTTGGAGCATAGTATTTTTTCATACTAAATACCGCGGTAGCTGAGCAGTTGCAGTTCTGAGTAGGATTTTTTCACGGCAATATGCCAGGCGGGGCGACAAGATGGCAGAGTTGCGGTTCAAGAATGCTATTATTTGAGCACTGACTTGTGAGATATAATTTAGAGGCAATCTGCTTTCGGTTTTGGTGAGTAATTTCGGGCCTCCTGGTATGGTGTGGGTCATTGCTGGGGGGCATTTATTAAATTTCACTAAAACCGAGCCTGGGATAGCACTACCGGTATGCCGGTAGTTGGAGAATATGGTATGATAATATCATGTTGTTTGCGGAGAGAGATATCGCGCTACTGATACTGGTGTGTGGCTATAAAAACCCCCTTAGTCATGAGGGTATGGATTGTGATCCCGGGCGTAATCACAAAAAGTTCTTCCGGACCGCGTAGATTCCGAGCCCAGCCCACTACCAGCTAGCGAACAGGCTCAATTCACTCACCTTCCATTGCGAACAGTTACGGTGAATCATCACATCTACATATTTCAATTTGTTTCAATGGGACGTATGTCCCAGAACGTACTGTACAATTCCTTGGTTCATGTATTAATACTCTATGCCCGACATTCCTAGCTGTATTGGGGATATATCGCGAAGACCCGTATCTTATGGGAATCTAAAAACATCCTGCAAATCATGGTAAACCCAGGGCCCCAAACATGTCATTGAAAAAAAAAAAAGAAATTCAAAGCACAAAAAAACTGCATCTTGAGCAGTGTAATCGGGACTCATACAGCAGGGCAATCTCAATTCACCTATCTCGATTCCTAATGCCAGTTCAATGTACTACCTTTTGTCATAAGAACAGAAGTGAGGCTAGTGCTCCTAAGCGTCTAGTCGGTCCGTTCTTAGCTTAGGACGGGACGGACGCCAGTTTCTGGAACTCTGCCCTGGACGGACGCGTTTCGTGTGGTCCCTCCTACCCTCTACCCGGGACAGCCGGTCGGGCCCTATAGGTGTCTCACCTACATCATCTATTCCCAATATAGTAAGTCTATGGTCGCAACGAAACCAAAGTTTTATGTTTAAATAACAGTAACTTGGTACCTCCCCCTCATGGCCGGTGCTTCTGCAAATGACTGCAGATGGGAGCCGGGCCCTGCAGATGACGGTCGGTCCCTGGTGAGGACGACCGGAAGATGCCATTTGTATTAAGACTCCCGGGCCCGGGCGTCAGCCCATGGGACGACGGTCTTTATCAAAGACGGACGCCGATCCCTGCGGTCCATACCCACCCTGTATTGAACACTTCGGGGTTTCGTACAGCGGATGAAACTTCTAGTTCGCCAGACGACACGGGACTTTTATTGGTATGAGCAATAATGAGAGAGAAATGGAATCAAAGAATAAGAAAGAGCAAGAGGATTGTGTTCGGTAGCGAATGACTTGGACAGTATAACTGAAGACGAAGTAGAGGGACAGTGAATGCGATGATATAAGAAATAACAGAGAAGTTCGACAGCCATCCGAGTCTGTATTGGTGTTTCATTGTAGGTAGAACGGTATCCAATACTATCGCACTAGGTATGCAGGGTTGGTATGAGAGTTGGTCTGGCGCTAATGGTGGTGGGACATCCTTAAGACAAAGGCGTGAATTAGAATGGTTGCAGGTATGTTTTCGATCCTCCGGGAACAGGAAACCATGTAAGTGGTGAGCAATCGAGAACGATGATTGTTCAACACCCTGGTCGGGACGCGCGAGACGGGTGGGAACACTGAGTAAGGTGTCCCCAAACTCCTTGGGCCAAGGAGACCCGCAATTATCAGGAGGCGCACGTTCTACCGATTGGATTGGACTTCAGTAAGAGAAATAGCTGTGGTCTTTCCCGTGTTGGAAATCGTTTGTTGCTAACATAGTCTCTGGAAATGCGCTTTGCCTTCGGGGATGCTTGGGCTTTCGGGAAGGCATTTTGGCTGCAGGACTGCGTCGAGGTTTTGGATCAATGCATTTGCCGGAAGGAAAGCGGAAAGGTAGTAAGGAAAGCCGAAAAGTTAGACGCATAGAGTATTGGATGTCCGGAGGCTATGGACAATGGGAGTTTGTCTTTCCTTTGTTAGTACGCGAGTCATAGCAGGGGGGAAGGGAGCCATACGAGAAACACCATGGATATGTGCGGTTGCCTATTGAAGGATAGAAGGACTTGGTTGCTGTTGATATATAGACTACTCCTGTCTTTACCGTTAGTCGGTCGGTTGGGGGGGGGAGATGAGGAAGAAAATTTCCCTGCTCCTGCCATTGTGCGATCGTATTTCATGTGAACTCTCAGCGTTCCGCTTCGCCGTTTCGTCTTTTTGTCGTTTCACCATTCACCATTACTATTGCTTTCGTCGGTCTACCTTTAGAATTCCGCTATACAAAACTCCCAGTATGCTGGTTTCACCGCCACCGGTTCCGAGTCAAAGAGATGCTCTTAGTGTTTGTATCCAGGGGGTGCTTGTTGGGTGATTACCCCCCGCACTTCTGGCAAAAGGAAGAGGTGTTAGGAGCCGGTATGGCTCATGGGAATCAGTGGTTGGGTTTTCATTATACCAGTCCTACGACCGCCGGACGCTAGGGTACCAGAAAAATCTCCGTAAAATCCACTATCCCCGCCTGGCCCCGAGGAGGATTAACATTTTCCTGATAGTGCTCCGGTCTCCGAGCCAAGAATGGGGACTTCTTTTGGAATAGCCCCCCGCGGACCCAGAAAAAGTATCGTGGTCAGGCTGCTAGAACGGCCATGTATCCAGGGGGAGCGATATTACACATTAGATGATATATGGAGTGGGAGCGTGTGCCTTGAGAACTTATTAATTGGTCTTGTTTGAGCTTTCATGTAAATTTACAGCGAGTTTGAGCCTGTGAAGATGATAAGAGACTTAATACTGTTGGAGTCATTTAGTCCAATGATTGGAAGTTTTGGTCTCGAGGTTTGTGATATTTACCACTCCATCTGGTGGTAGTGTACGAGTAAATTTACGGTACAGGTAATTGAGTCCTGTGCTCATTGAGAAAGCAGAGCCAACGCTATCTTTTTTATGGGCCCGCTGGAGCTATTCCAAAAGAGGCGCCCATTCTTCACTCGGAGCCACGAATACTCGTGCCCGTCCAGCACCGGTACTCGAGGATGATAAGCCCACGACATGTGTCGGATCTCGCTAATCGCCACCCGTGCATCCGCAATACTGTTAACCTGCCAAGCTAGAACTATTGTTCATTGGCTACTAGAGATTATAGATTACAAGAGATTTTGCGGTATTGTAGTTATTATATCATACGGTCGTTCCCCGGTAATGGCTCAGTTATCGCACTCCTCTTGCGTGCTTAGGCAGCTAGTTTATAATATCTTACCCTTCGATGCAAGTTATTTGCGGAGCGAGCAGAGCGCCGCACGAAGTTGCTATGTTATCGCCACACCAGTATCGTATTCCGTAGCGGCATTCTAATCGGTAGAGACGGGTCGAGCTCCCCTAAACACTAGACTATCAGGCTTGAAATACTCGAGTACACGTACGATAACAAAGGCAATACTGTAGACTACCGGTAGTACAGGTGGGGCTGATAAATACATCCGTCACGTGAAGCGTGATAAGCAAATGCTTAGGATCGTTCTTCTTATCGCGCTCCACGTGATGATTGGGTCTATTGGCTGCACCTGTCAAGGGTGCGGTAAGCGCCAGCCTACCATTTGCATTTTGCCTTGCAGCCTCGTGACTCGGCATGCCTTGACTTGCCTAACGAGAGTAGGAGAGGAAACAAAGCGACGGATGAACACGGAACAAGCATGGGCGCCAAGAATAATTCCATCGCCGAGTTGCCAGGGCCAGGTGTATGGTACCTTCTCCGCTGCCGCCACGGAAACCGTTTGTTCCAAATCTCCAATGCCATGCTACTCTCTATTACCAGCGGCCCCAAATTAGCTCGCTCACTCCTGCTCGTAGGGGGGATTACTGTTCGGCAATGCAGGCCTCTACGGCCTCTAAATCTGCTCTACTCTCTCTTCCTAGGGGGAAGTGGAAACTCCTCGGAGCCTGCATTCATGGTTTCATAGGCGACGGAACGAGCTTGCGGATCTTTCCTACACACCTTGGCAACTTGTTTTGTCCGTCGTTTTGGAATATTTGGGCTGTGGCGCCCACACAGAGGCGTATCCGAATTTCAAGACCAAGTAACGGAATATGATATTGCTTGGACATTCCATGGCCGGATTCTGGCGGCAGAGGTGGCGTTGCTGAGAGGTGAGCGCGGGGATTCAGGCATAGGATATTGGGGGTTGTCAAGCTCGATTCACCATTTCTGGGGTCGCATCTTGGGGTTATATTCGCTGGGCCGGGGAGCCCGTTCCGGTCGTAGGGGAAGGGCCTTTACGAGGAAGGTGGCCACATGAGGGTGAGGGGGTGTGCGGAGGGGTAAATTCGACGGTGGCTCTGTTATCAGCGGTACAGTACGAGTACATTCTAGCGGGAGCGTGGGTGGGTTTTTTCAGAAGAGACCACAGTGGAATTTCACGGTTGTGCAAAGCAGGGTATGTTTTGATTACAACATCCCGATGGGGGGCGCAAATGCTAAAGTGGATATAGAGGGAACTTAGGATTCGGCGGTGAAGTTTATCGATAAAGACCATTCCCATCTTACCTCTGCCATGGGGCAGTAAGTTACTTGATGTCGCAGCTTCAGTTAGGGTTTGTTTTCTGGCCTAGCCGCCCTCTATATCGGAATCGTTTAACTAATTGCAATAGTGACTGCCTCGCTGATCCCGCAGGCCTGCGAAACTGCTACAACGCCATCCGAAAACTCGAAACCGGCAATCAAGCCCCGAACAGTAAAACAGTCCACATATGCTTTGTAAACTACTATGCGTCCTCCACCGAGCGCTCCAAGTATCCGCCGAAACCCGCACCTGCGACAGCGCACCTAGAGCACTCATTTGACCTCGCGGACGCGGGAGTGGAGGGGCCGGGTGGCAGTGAATTAGAGGGAATGACTCGGGAAGTGCTCCTTGGGGTCGGCTCGTCCCCCTCCAAAACTGTTAAACTAAAGGTCACACAGAGAAAGAGAAGATGTTTGTTCGATTTGTTGTTTTGATGCTTAAGGAAGAAGAAAGAAATCGCATCTCCGGAACTTTTTGTTCCTCGGAAGAAAAGGCAACACGACGCAGCAGAGCATCCCCAGTTGTGCAACCCTTTGGCGTAGTCCTAGGTCTAGACTTTCTCGTTTCCTCCCACCAACACTTTCCTCATTTCTAACACAAACCGTACTCCGAGAACCCTTTCACAGGTGCTATCTCCTCAGCGGATGAAATGGCACTGGCACAACTGGACCCCGGCCCTGTGTCTGGTGAAAAGGGGTTCTACGAGGATATACCAATGAGATCTATCCCTGTGCCTATTTTAGAAACTACAGCAATGGCACCCCAGCCCAGGATTTCCCACCATACCTTTCTACCTCCACTTATTCCACCACTTCCGGACCAGCGCCCCTAGCAATCTCCCGTGCTACCACCGAAGCCCACAGAATTTGACTACTCGCAGGCCCCGGATGCAACAGTGCGCAAAGGCGCTGAGAGAGGTGCTGCAAGGCAAGGAAACTATGGGCGAAAAGCGTAAAAGATTACGAAAGTAGTGAAAGACCGGAAAAAAGCATAGGAAACGACATAGCATCGCGAGAAGGAAAACGAGGAAAAGCGGAAATCTGCCACTCAGCATGACCGCGAGGTGGAGAGACTACGGCTAGAGAAGGAAAGAAGGGAAAGGGAAGAGCGACGGTTAGTGGATGCTCGGGAATCACCTGCTTACGGCGGGTCAAGATCCATACCGTCGCCCTCCCCTTCTCCGTGACCAGCCACCTCGCCGGCACCCGGCCCAGCCCCGGCGCCCGAAAACCCGCAAAGAAAGAAGGGTGAGAGGAATTTGTGCCGAATCACGCGCATACCGGACGCGTCCTAAATTAGGGTTGAAATGACGGGGGTGGACGAAGTGGGCGCCCATGGAGGACTGTTCTTTTTGAGAGACGTGTATGAGAGGCTGGTTGGAGATGTGGCTTGGTGGACCGAGAGGTGGGTGGGGGAGGAGGGTACCAGGGGGTGGTTGGAGGAAGAGGGAAGGGGGTGGTGTGGAAAGCGGTTCCGGAGGTGGTGGCGGCTCAGAAGGGTGGGGTTGGATGGGTGGGGTGTTGTGACGGGAGAGGAACTGGGGGAGTCACGATCCGGTGGACCTTTTCACTTAATCTGGTTTTTGGCTGGCTGCTAGTTATTGTGGTATCCTTTTAAAGGTTCTTACAAATGGGGTGATGTGTTTGAGGAGACTCAATGCTACTTTACCCCGACCTGTCATTTGCAACCATTCTCCCCTCCCGGGTTATTCCAAAAAAAAAAAACCCATCTCTCCCTTCCCCGAATCGTGAGCACCCTAGCCAGTGTAAAAGTAAAGGAAGTACCATACTATCATGGGTGTCGGGGCAATTTTCGACGTCTTGCCTCCGAGCGCACTCGGTATCATACCTACTGTAGATCACGCTGCACTAACCACCCCCTCCTTACTCTCTTGCTAGTACCATTTGACTATTCGCCTATCCGCGGGGATAACTAAACATAGTCAGGATTCTGGGGTAGGGGTTTTATGCACAGATAGGAGCTCATCTTGATGTATATACCCCGGAGCCCTCAGCGGTGCCGGAGTATTGTACAGTACAGCCGACCGTTTGTGCAGGGAGTTGATGCTGGTGACTTGTCAGCGTTGATGGATATTACTGGGAGGAGGTGAGTTAGAGGATTTACGAATGTAGAATGGGACGGGAATAATTAAGGTCGCTGTCTATGCATACACGATTGAGCACAAGGGGACCCCCCCCCCGCACGGCTCTATCTAGAAAATACTACTGTAAATAAATATTAATGAATGATGGTAAGGAAGAATAGTAGAAATTACAGGGCAAAGTCTAACCAGAGCCCCGGGCGAGGAAATGGCGATGAAGGGGGAGACAGAGAGATACACAACAAATTGATGCTTGAGACCGCTCGTGAGAAGAACGCCACTCATGAGGGTTATGTGCAACTAAATTCACGGAGGTCTTGAAAATAACGATCGCACGATCGGTAATTATTTGCCGGATTAGAACATGGCCTGAAGGAAGGAAGGAAGGAGGTAAATGAGGAGAGCCAAGAGAGAAATGAGAAAGGCGACGAGGAAATAATGGTCGAGCAAAATTGAGAGGCTTGATCGGACGTGTTGGGATGAGAGCCTGTTCCAATAGGAGATTATGCGAGCTTCGGGGGCGGAGTAGAAGGAAGTGGAGACAGCATGGACGGTTCGGTTGAGCCAGGTGACTATCCGCGGAGTTGCAAACAGTATCATTGACGCCCTATACCGCTTCCAGCTCATCGGGGTGTGCAGATGTGGGGGTGGCGGTATCCGGACCAGGAGCTTCAATATTCACCGCCACGTGCTCGTTTACGTGCTCAGTGGCTGGCGAGATCTGGGGGTCGGAATTGATCGTGTCCCGTTTCTGTAAGATCCTTACAACCCCATCATGTCGGCTGGAGAGAGCCAATGACAAATGGCGCTTGGCCCTTGTTATCAGGCATGATGGTGAGAACATCCTTCCGTTCTAAAAGAATCTCTACCACCCCCTCATAGCCACACTTAGCCGCCCACGAGAGTGGTGTTCGGCCATCTGCATCCCGTGAATCGGCATTGACTTCCCTGCGCGCTAGAAGCAGCTTCACTGCACCTCCATTCCCCCACTCCGCAGCAAATGAGAGTGCTGTGCGGCCGTTTTCGATCACCGCATCGGGCTTGATATCTCGCTGCTTTAGAAATAGTTCCACCATGCGGCCGTTTCCATATTTCACAGCCCACATTAACGGAGTGTCACCCTTAGAATCGCACCTATTCGCGTCCCAGAGTTCCGTCTCCGGCATGGCAGTTGCAATTTCTGCAATCCTCCAAAATGCAATGCGCAGTGTAGCCCACTAATTCCCTGAATGTCATTCCCAAAATGCCACTTATAGATCTTGTTTCGGATACCCGCAGATACATGGTTCTCGTATCCGTCGAGGAGTCGCAAGGCTGGGGATTTCACTGGCTCAGTATCTCCCTGTCTGCATGGATTCCCCAGGAATAGGCGGCATATTCGAGAAACGGCGTTCTCACTGCGACCATATCGGGGCTTAGTGGCAGCGCACGAACCGAGAGAGAGTTTAAATAAGGGGGGCAGATTTCGGCCATCATCAAGTGCGCAGTTGTAAAGAGGGCGGGATGTTCCCCGAGATATTCTTGAAGCGTGTGATGCAGGAGATGGGCCGTTGGTGCCTTTTCATCAATTGTGAGAAGTCCTAAAGTGCAGCCTAGTATGGTGGGCATTGAAGGCACATTGCGGATATTAAAGTCCTCCCGCTCCCGATTCTACACCAGTGCATAGCACAGCTCATCAAACCGCAAGGGCCACTCGCAGTGTGAAATCCACGTCAGTGCCTCCATTCCAAGTTTCGTTTTGCTTCCGCCCTGCTGTCTTATCTGATCCAGTATGGGGTTATATGCTTCTTGTAACCCGTGGCACTTAACCACCCGATGGAGTGCCTGTCTCCTATTGCGAATGGTGACCTCTGCAAGGATCGCGTTCATATTAATGCAAACGAAAATGAATCTAGAGATCATTTGTTAGTCTATTCCATGGATTTCATCTCTCCCAAATAATTCACACATTCCCGAAACCTTTTTTGAAATAACATTGAGAATATAGTCTCGCAACTCCTAGTTCATTGCATACGGCGCCGTGTCTCTGCTCAACCTCATCTTCAGATATAACTCAATACCATGCTCGTTGGGGCTTATCAACATCTCGGAAGTTTCGGAGCAATATTTCCGTACTTCGTCCCCTATGTGGGGCCTCCCGGTAAGGAACAGCCGTGTGTTTGGACAATCCCACACTAAACGTCGTAGAGATTCCCAGAGCTCGGGCCGGGGCTCCAAGTGAAACTCGTCCAACGCGTCGATACATATGAAGGCTGATTTCAAGGGTCGCTCACAGCGGGAAATCCACATCAGGGCTCTTATTCCAAGCTCCGGTCTGCTTCCATCCTGTTGCCTTATCCGATTCAATGTCGTGCCGCATACTTCGTGTAAACCGTGGCCCGAGGTAATTCTATGAAGCGCTTGTCTCCTCTTGTGGATGGTCGACTCGGCTAGGATTGCGTCCATATTGATGCAACAAGAAGAAATCTTGAGATCATTGTCAGCCTAGTCTGTAGGACCCAACATGTAGGAATACATACATTCCAGAGTTTTTTTTTAGGAATAATACAGAGAGTGTTGGTCCGCAACCCCTCGTCCATTGCATCTAATTCCGGATCT